AACATCTTCACAGATTGGGAGTATACACTCAACCCACATGAGGAAATGGAGAAGACCCACCTGATTCGATGACCAGCACTAAAGACAACGACGGAAAGCCAGAGATACTGGGAAGCAAGAAGACAGCTAATGAACTGCTATAAATGTACCCCCCCCCACCCTTGGGGGAAGCTGAAGTCAAAGTTTAAGGGCTAATGATAAATATCACAAAGCCTGCCATTTGAAATAAATATATAAATTTTTAATAAAAGATTTTCAAATGTCTACCTTAATAGTATTAGAATTGTGATCCAACGCCTGAGGCGCAACACTACGTGGTCCACCGAATTTGACGACCCTTAGAGCAGTATTGGCTTTCACATTGACAACTTTTCCGTGACATGTGAGAATAGAAATACTCTCCCTGTCCATTTGGATGACCACGCCAGCGTTTTGAGCATCGATTTGAACGAACTCATTGAGTTGAACACCTCCTGGATTACCAGGGTCAGTTGGACCAGCACGATCTTGCCAAAGGCGCAAATCTCTTGGAGCAACCCGAATCTCCGACATTCCACTGTCTGGTAGCACTAAGCAGATGTTGGGTTCGTAAACTAAAAGAAGACCGGTCTCATTCCTGTAACGCCCGTTGATCACCTAAAGAGGAGGAAATGTTTGGATTGGAAATATCACAATATAAAAAATGTGCAATTTTGCATCTTGGGAAAACAACTGAAGCCAGATAATACTAAAGCTAAATGAAGGGAAAAAAGAATCAAAGAATGTGGAGTTATACAATATTTACCACCAGCGGCCGACGATTGCTCAGCCACTCACCGGCGGCAGGGTGCGAGATAGACTTACTTCCACGTGGTGCACACTGGGCAACGTATACTCGTACGACAAAGAAGTCTATAAACCGGCAGTTGACTTGACTTCAAACTACCATGACCACACTGTGTGCCATATTTGACCACTTTCACAGTACTCACCCTTCCTTTTTCTCTACCCTTGTGTCTGTCTCTTTTACATCTGTGAATCACTCTTCTGTTCGCCCTCCACATTTTGTGATTTTGGCTGTTCCTCTCCTCTGGGAACCCCGAAGATACCTTTCAATAAACAAAAATGCTTTCCTTCTTTCATATGCAGTAAAGAACCCCAGTTTTCATGGACTAACTCTCCCTACTCTTTCCCATTTTCAGATTGTTAGATTAATCAATTATAAAATGATATTAATAAACCTCAATCTGCTCACCCTGACATGATCACCTTGTTCGAAGTACTTCCTTAATTCATGTGTATTGAAAGGAATGGGTTCTTTGAGATCATTGTGGCTAGGTTGAACAATAATTCGGCCATTTGGTTCAGTAGAAGTAACTGTACCTCGAAGATTTTTCAATTCACCATCACACACTTCGACAATATCGCCCGGCAAGAAGTCGTAGTCCCCAGAGAGTACCTCGCCGTTGGGACCCAATTTCGGAGCCGTGGAACTCTTGGAAGCCACTGATGCTGCCGCCGCTGCTAATTCTACACCATCTGGCATTTGATTGAAAAGTTCCAGCTCGGCTAAAGTAGGCCGAATGCCCTCTGAGATCTACAGTAAAAAAATAAAAACAACCTAGCTACTAAATTGACTATGAGTAGGACGCCAGAATATGTCAAATGGAAAAGTAAAAAATGGTAATATTTAGCGTGCTGGTAGTGTAATTTATCGAAATGCACATCTGACAAGGCACGTATCACTAAATCTGTATTTAACGAAGCAAACTCAATGATGGGAGTAACCAACTCCACTGGTTCAATCAGGCCAACCGGAGAGTTGCTCAACGAAGAAGCTTCACGATATATCTCTAAACCGAAATCAAGTGAAGTAAATTTTGATTTAATCATTTCTTCTTCTCATTATTACGCTTATCGCAAAAAAAAGAACTGGAAGGTATGATTCCGCTTATTTTTTTTATAGACTTTATGATGATAACGCCGTATTTGTTAAGAAATGCAAATGTAATTGAGGGATGGGAATTAAAAGTGCGGCTTAAGAACTACGCCATCACGGTCGTCGATTGAGAGGACAATGATTTCAGCTGTCAGTGTTAACAAATAACATTGGTATTAACATGTCAGGTCATAGACCAACAGAACGTAATGAAAACATACTTGTAGTTGTTTTACTTAATATTTGAGAGATTTGAATATTCCCGATATGACCACATGCAATTCACTATAAGTGATGAAAAGAAACAGGCTTATAACCACACTAGACAAGATGAAAGGACAGCGCATTTAAGCGTATAGTTATTCTATACTTCTTCTCAGAAAGAGATCATGATCGAAACACTGAGTTATGGGTGGGTGACTTGGAAAATGCTCGGCTCCTTCTCGTCTCAGCCAATTGAGTATAGGCACCCTGCATTCCATTTCATTATGTAATTATTCTCAAAAATGCTATTCCACTCAGGCCATCTATGGTACGTTAGAAACCTAAATCAACCTCGAGAGGGTGCTATTGTAGTGAAAGGAAAGAGGTGTATGAAATAAATTGGCCATCAAAATAAGCTTCTACCATTTAATGTTGGTTAAAAAGAAGGATAGACAGTAGAACTTTTCTGCGTACTTGGTTTATAGGTACGCTCATAGAAGGAACACTGGCTGACAAGAATATTTTGAAAATAATCTTTATTCTTCTACCCCTAGAACAGATAACAATAATCAGAGCTGATAACAAACAATTCTTCCATTTTATCTCATTCTTATAATCAATAAGGGTGTAGCCATTAGCAAAAAATACATTCAACGCTTTCTCATATTTTTTGTTCCTTGTGGTACTGTAATTTAAAAATTCACAACCGCCTAAAAAAGAAATAAGCTCTATTGCTCCTTCAATAAATGAACAAATAACTGAAATGCGACGACTTACAACCGTATTAATCCTAAAGTCCTTTAAGAGGAAGCCTGCTGAGTCATACTGATTGCCTTCAAAGACAACATACCGGCCACTGGTGGAGATACGATCGCTAACTTTAGTGGGATCAAATAAGGCAGCGGGTGGACGCTTCCAATTAAATTTTCGATTAGCAGATAGAGAAGGATCTCCATTAACAGGTTCGGATTCAAACATTCGATTACGTTTTCGTTCGTAATCAATCCGAGGGACAAGCTTGAGCCACACGATATTTTGAGCATCTTCAACACTTTCAACCTAAAGATAAAGTAAAATGACAAATAAAGCATTAACAGTGCTGGAAAACCGAAATTTTTAACAAAAAGTTTAATACTTACACGTGCTAAATCGTTTTTGTAACGACCACCCTTAATGCGGACCCACTGCTTAGGTTTTAATTGCGCGGACTCCTTAACAACTCGCAACACATCAACCATCTCGTCAACAGGAACAAGCTTTTGATCAAACTGGGCTCGTGCGAGAGCTTTTAGACCATCAATTGCCTGCTTGACATGAGTCTGTTTAAAAGCTTCAATATAGAGATAACCCTTAAGGGTATCTTTTGCAATAATAGACTTAATTTGGAGGGGGGTAGAAGTGCATTGGAAGGCAAGGAATTTGCGAGCTAAAGCAATAGCAGTTGTTCTTTCCTCGCCTATCTGGCATTTGACAAGCCAAAGGTGAGGATCTTTGATACCGGGAAGGTTTTGTTGTTGTTGGATACTAGCCGTCATGCCATAACCTTCACCGAGTTGTCTTGAAGCGAAGTTTGATTTCTCATAACGTTCTGTAAAATAACGCTCTAGTTCATCTGCGTCCTGCTCCGTGAATTCCTGCATTCGAGTTCGAGCTTCTAAATCACGAGCGGAGGCCATAGCAGACTGGATGGCCTCAACATCCTCATGACCTAAAAGATCCGCTTCATCATCACCAGACTCCTCCTCCTCCTCCTCGTCATCCACGGCTTCAGCCTCATCGTTGAAAAGATTCTAAGGAGGCAAAAAACGACCTAAGTAATTCTAAACAATCAGATATTTAAATAACTAGACATAAAAACAGCAAAAAAGTTTATAATAAAGTTGATTCATACGAATAATAAACTTTGCATAAAAGTTATTAATATGACAATTGGGGTTACTTACTCGCACATCACTCGCGTCACGATAGCGTTCACGACGCTTTCTACGCCGCCTACGTTCTTCCTCTTCATCTTCATCATCGTCTTCTTCTATCGAAAGCCTTTCAGAATCTTCGCTAGGATCATCACTTTCTTCCTCATGTCGCATGCGCTTAGCAGAAACAACACTTTCTTCGTCAGAATCCATAGGAAAGCCTTGTGAGAAATAAGGAACGCGCGCAATGTTTTACCCAATTTTATGTTCGATAAACGTGCAAATAAATTGTAAATATCTACTATGCATTTATTTCAAAATTCTGACTATGAGTATTTAGGTCATTTACTTTAATATTATATTTATTTATTACTGCTTTTTTAATTAAAATCCATTGCTTGATGATATTTAATCATGATAAGCTAATGATTTCATTCTAACAACTTTATATGTTTAAAATTTAAGTCAATATTTGTTCTAATTTTTTTTATAATAATTAACCAAAGTTTATTGAAATCGACCTTGCGTAATATTGTCAATCCTCGCATTTGTGCTTTTTTGGGTAAGTTAGTCGTTTCTCTTTGTTTCTAGACATGTTCGCCGTGACCGTCGAATCTCTATACGATTGTTTCTATGTAATATCGAATAATTCCAGTTCTGACGTTGATGTAGGGTTTCGGTTCATTTTCTACTTTTTTTTAGAAACTTAAGGCTTATCAAAAAATTTTGCAAGGAAGCAAAAGCGGACCTAATGAGAAAAAGCTCTCTTCCCAATTTATTGGCAGATTTTTTAAATTATTCCAAGCTGAACAAGAAAATAGCTTTAACTGTCTACTTGATTTGTGCGATGATGAAGATTCCAATACTCGCATTCAGGCTGTTCGTGATTTCCAGCAAATTTGTAAAGCCGTGCCTGAATTTATTCCTCGCGTTTCAGACGTCTTGGCCCAGCTGGTAATTGCTGAAAATGTCTCGGTAATGTGGTTTCGTTTTTTATATTTTCTTTAGGAATCGAACGGAATTAATAATTCGCTTAAATCTCTTCTCATGATGGATCCCAGCAGTACTCTCATAGGTGTTTTTAATCAAATTGTGCCCAGTAAATCAGAAATTCAACGGAAAAACTTACTGCAATTTTTAATGGACTGTTTGAAGGACATTCCAGAGGAAAAAATGACTGCAGAATTGGAAGAATTTATTATAGAACACTTAAATAATTTATTCAGTGATGCTTCATTTACTGAATTCGTTGCTGTTGTTACTATTATGTCTTCGCTCAAATCGCTGTCGACGTTGTTAGGTCGTCAAAAATTAGTCAACATGATTAGCAGTTTCGTCATGGAGAAAATGCCTACTTTTGATCCACAAAGCGTTAAATCTGTCGAACTTATTCAACAGGCTGGAAAACAGATAGTACGACTGCTATCAAAAAATGTATCAGCTGCCAAGTTGCTGAAATATATGCTCGATAACGTTGTTCCTTCCGTTCTCTCTGTGGAGAATCCCTTCCAACAACGTGGAATTCTGCAGCTTTTAACAACTTTCAGTTCTCATCCGGGTGATACATTTACATCTATTCCTGAGGATCGTCGAGTTCAGTTGCTTCAGCCCCTTTACGTGGCACTTTTGACTAGCTTACCGGAACTCTCAACTCTTACTGACGAAGGAGATGTCCACTTGAAAATGTCTCTTCCTGCTTTTACTATTGAGTGCATTTTGTATACACTTCTTAATCTACTCAAATTTTGCCCCACATTTCTCAGTGCCTCTGTCCAAAATGAGAGTGATGCGGCTTCACAAGAGGGGGCCGCTAGACTGCATTCTCTGCGCCATAAAGCCCAATATACGGCACGGCTTATACAATCCTACAAAACACCGATTGTTGCCGAACTGCAAGCTTCTTTCCAAGCTGAAGGTGGCTGTTCGGTTAAAACTGCTGATGAAGTGAGGCGGGTGAGCTATTGATTTTTTTTCGCATTTTATGAATCACTTCCTATGAGGATTACTTGGGATAACTGCGTAGTATTTTTTATTTTCACTATGGGTAATTAAGTCTTGATGACCTTGGCTTTTATCTTAGAGTATGTCCGTGTAGTGTCTCTAGTGTCTCCCTCAAGTTGATATCGTTCCTTACCGTGTGCAAAATAAGTTTACAGATTTAATTGCATTAAGCAAATGAAATTTGTCAGTAGTAAGTCAAACAAATTTTAAAGGTAAGGGGATCACAGAAGTCATCGAGAATAGTGTGAAAATAGTAAAGTTATCGTTGGAATTTTTTGTTTTCGATTTTGGTTGGTGAGTAGTTCGCGTTCTATTATTCAAATTTCATGAATTGCTGAAGGTGTTTGCCTATGATTACCAGCGTTTACTAACAAGTTTTTTTCTATCAGAATGCGGGGTTTTGCCCCTTCAATTCATCCGTTAATTGAGAAGGCAAACCGATTTTGCTTCCTGTTCATCATTTTAAGTCCAAAGATCCTCACTTGCTGTAGTTGATCGTTTCATTGAAGTCTTTAATTAATTGAGATATTTGAATTTTCTTTAAGATTGATGTTTTTTCCAATTGAACCAATTGCACTTCTTTTCACTACCCTGTTCAAATTTAGCAAACGATCACATGTACATAAATTTAACTGATCGAGTGGTGACCCTGTTCCACCCTTCCCTTATGTTTAATTTCTCAAAATAAGATGCATTGAACCACTTTACCAATATGCCCTATTGATAGTTCATCTTTTATGTTCGGTATTCAATTTCTCATCAACCTTCTAGCACTTTTTGATTGTGTTTTTTCCCGCCTCAGACCTTTTAGTTAAGTCAAAGTACTTCATCAATATGTATATGTATTGGGCATTCGAATTGATTCATCCCGTAAGAAGGGAGTCAAACTTCAGTCCCAAATAAAGAAAAGCTGTGAGGCAACATTTTAACATCCAACCCCATATAACCGCCCTTTAGAAAATAAGGGCCTTCGATACTTCTTCGGATTGGCAGACTTTCTGAAAACCCCGGAAATACACAATTTATCCCGATCACTTCTTAAATTTATTAAGTCATTTAGTTATTCAGTTAATTTCAGTCGTGTAACTTGATTTTTTGCTGAACTATTTCATTGTTGCCATTCTTTCTTATCCTCTTTTTGTGAAGGCCCTTGCAAACATTGAGAAGATGGTTCGCTGCATTTTTCGCTCAAAAATCGAATCTCATTGTCTGCATGATGTAGTTTTATCGTGGATAGAACCATCACCTCCAAAAGCACCGGCTACGTCATCACCAACGGCGCTAACTGCCGGAGCAAAGCGTCGTACTTCACAACAGCAGGGTACTTCCCAAACGTGGAGTAAACGGGGAAGATTTCAACATCTCTACCGCGGTAACAGAAGAAACTGACTGGCTTTAAATCTCAATATCGTTGAGTTTTGTTATTTGCATGGAGTGCAATTCTGGCTATATATGCATGTTTTTGAAAGTCGTTGTGTATATGTGTCAACACATGTTTATGTGTATAAATTGTGATAATTCATTATATATTATATATTCAATAAATATCTCCTCTTGGTAGCATTTTCTCATGTTAAAATGGTATAGTTTTGCTTAAACATTGCAATTTGACAAGGTATTATTTTTATCTTCCATAACCGAGCAAAACCCTTTATAGCATTTCAATATGGACAATATCCAAACGTATTGTAGATGAAAGCCCACTAAGTGTATGCTAACATTTCCAATTGTAAACTCTGGGTATTTAGGAAGTAAAGTGTAGAGTTTAGGAATCAGAATAACCCTGCTTCATTTGAGCTAAATACATTATCTAGTTGCTTGCTGTAAATTATTGTTATATATGCATATGCAATATTTCTAACATTTAAATACAGGCATTGTTAATTTGTAAAAATTATGTTCAATTTGATGAAGGGTAGTGGAAGTGGGGTCCAGTATGTTGCTTTTCACAATTAAGTTACTTTATTCGCATTCCTTTTCACAAGAAGAATTTAGATGACAGTCCTTTGTGTAATTTCGCAGACATTCCTGTTGCACCAATCAATTGGACAAAAGTGATCATCTTTGGACTTTTGATATTCTATTCATCAGTGCCTTATCGACCCACTTTCAGTCGGAAAACATCACTAACGTCAAGTAACCACTCATATATAATTATTCTCCTATATACAATCCCGAAACTCATGATATCTGCTGTCAGACAAGAATGGTAGGAAATGAAGTATGTAAAATCCAACCTATAGCCAATGTATTTTTCTCTCCGTAGTACTTCGAGATTCTAAAACTTAAGGAAAGGAAATCACTAATCCATCTCAGATCAGGACTTTTACGGATCACTTTTACCGAACCAATGCATTCATAGGCGGACTTTTTAAGTACGCTCTATTCAAAAGCCGTGTAATATTCACCAAATTCGAAATGGTCTAGTGGCCTTTAGATATCTCCAGTTCGTGAAATTTCTTCCAATGGGTCATTCCATTTGATGGTTGGTCATTTGGCAATAGTAACATTAAAGACTTTGAGATCCTATAATTTTTATATAGTAATATTTTAATTAACTAACATTAATTGTAGCGAGGACTTCAATAGAATGAAAATGTTCCCTAAATAAGCCTAGCTATCTCAATAATATCGATGCCACAGAGCGTATGAAGTGAAAAGGATTTATAGCATGAAATCACGAAAACTTTTAGCACGTTTGACACTAAATATGGTCACTTTTATTCGTTTGCGGAAACTTGCTATCTGATTGGATGAAATGTTTCTATACGCACGACTTGGCTTTCAAGAAAATTCTGTGGTAAATGGGATCCCTTTTATCAGCCTTGGTTCCTCACAATGGTTATATTTCATCTTATGCTTAGGACTTCTAGAGAACACATATTTGCCAAAAGGAGACACCTTTATTTTCACCTTTGTTTGTAATTGGTAAAATTCCCTATAAGAGGTTTTTAAAAGGCGGAAGAGCAGATAATGCTATTAATTAAGTTGAAAAAAATAAATATCGAATCACCATTATATCTGGTCTGGGCTTTTTAGGATGAGATAAGGTCGAGTTCTATTGTGTTATCAAGCCACTTTAGCTTTTAGTTCTCGTTTCGAAGTGACACTAATTTTTAATCGTTTCACTGTATTCTGCTTTTAGCGCTTAAAATTCTCCAGTTTACTAAATAGAATGTTTTTCTTTCCTGTTGCATTTAAATAAGAGGAAAGCTTGCACCCAGCCACCAATCCGTTTGGCATTGCGGATGGTCATTCAAAGCATTAGACATGGACAGATGGTCTCGAACTCGTAACCTATAAACCAGCAAACTTAAATGTTTACCTTATTCCGCATTGGTGTTTTTGTTTGAGCAAATCGTATTCTTTAAATCTACGCTGTTTACATGAAATAAAAGCTGATTTCAAAATCCGATTTAGTAAATGGGAGAAAAGTAAAATTTATTAAGTATTTTTAAAATGCAATTAACGATCAAATTAAACTTCTAAACGGTGGAAATGAATTAAAGCTCTAAAATGATTTCTAAATTCATTATCATGAGTGAAACTAAACCTCTTGTGCCTTTTCGTGCTGTTCTTTTGTAACTTTCTTCTTTTCTACAATGTCACGCTTCTTAATGATATCATCTAAAGTATCCATGGCAAAGCTTGAACGGAGTTTCTTTATAATCCCTTTACGATAAGGAAGGTCTTCTAGTGGACAAATTTTCTCGACAGTCTTCTCAATACAATGCCAAACATCATTATACTGAATTTTTTTTGTAGGACTTGGATTCTTCAGATTAAGTTTTTGTACTCGAGTCTCTAGTGGTTTCACGAAATCCACATTGGATTTTTTAAAGTGGGCTAAAACTTTTGCAGAGTATACTATTTCGTTGCCCAGAAAGAGCTCCGCTAGCCACGCAATAGTCTTTTTTTCCACAATTTCAATTTTCGAGTCACCATCTCGTGTAACTGTCCATTCGATAACATAGGAAGGTTGAAAAGCCGAAGCTCCACGCTGCATTAAAGTTCGGATGCATTCGAGGGCATTGTTGCGAAGGGCATAATAAAGGAGAGGACAGATGGTAATAATCTTTCTCGCTGGTTTTTGTGGCACGCCGGTCTCCTGGTAGAAGAACCTGCAAATAATTGACGAGTGTTTTCGTAAATAATCCGACAAATATGATGCCGAGTCGCGTTTTATTGCGCTAATAATCGCGTAATCGACTGCATAAGTAGGAAGATCGATATCAATAGAAGGATTAACTTCACGTCCTCTTAAGCAATCTAGTTCCTGATGTAGATTCTCGAATTTTCGGTTGATTATTAAATCTGCTGACATGCTTTTTGACCTGTTCTGTTAGCCACTGGTACTGTACAGTGTGTGGCAGAATTGAATTGCATGTGGACGTATATTATTGATCTGCTGTTTTAAGCGGAATCATTTACATAGGGTAGAAGTGAAAGATTGGAAGGCATAAAGGAAAAATTTTCAATGGCAAATTCTGAAATTTTTTTAAAATTGAAATAACATATTACGATATTTTATTCGGCCAAAAGTGGAAATTATATTATTTAAACTGATACGCGAGTGAGTTACCTATGTCCTATCGAACTACAAAAAGTTACCAATGAATTATCTGAGTCATAAGAAGCCATTTTAATTTATTCATGTACCGCTAAGTTAAATTGCTAATTTTTCTACTTTACATTACAGTTTATTATTATTTGCCCAATAGTTGCTGTCACTATTTGATATATATAACAAGAAATGACTTTATATTACAAAAAAGCTGTGGGCAACAAAACGCTAGCAATGCTCATCCATGGAATCTCATTCGCAATAGAACATTCTGGAAAGAGTGGCGCGCTAATTATCCCGCAGCCAGCATATGCGGTCTCGCTAATAACCACGTTAGGAAGCATACGTGGTGGTGAACCCAGAGACCTTTCAGCCAATTAACCTTCAATAGTCAGCGCATGACCAACGTGTCGAAAGTTGCTCTTAATGACTAAGCCCCGTGATAGATACATACAGTCTAGGTAAATGTGTTCCCTCCCATATGTCTGTTTCCTCTATAATCATGAGTTGGCTTTGGTAACTTCGGGGGCCTTTCCATACTGGAGGACGTAGCGGAACAAATGGACACTTGCGGATGATAGGGAGCAGAAAATTATCGCACCCACTTAAGTGCATGGTATGAACACGCTTGCATTAAAGGATTTTTTGATTTCAATAAACCACGCTTTCAAGATTCGATCATCACCTACGACATGTGCGGAGAAATCGAAATAGCAAATATGCTAGAAACTGTGTTGAGCAATTTTCCCAGAAACTAAAACTAGACCCGTAATTCAAGCTTGCTTCATTAACATGCAACGACTAAAACCACGAACTGAATGCTGATAGAATTTCAACAAACATCGAATAGACGCGGTATGTTCCACACTAGCACAATTCCAGCTAAATTTAAATACTTTGGTAAGTGAGAGAACAATGAAATAGAGAACGGGACGTTCGACACATCACAAAAATAATTAAGATCAGGGAGTCATTAGCCGCCCCTTAAAGAACCATGGACGTGCGAGTAATTATTCATTCGTCAAAGTAGTAAAAAATAAATAAAATGTATTTACAAATATACACAACGGACAAGGCCTTTTACACTTGTCCTTTTTGACCCTTTTTAATACGCTTTTCAATCGGGGCATTTAAATTCTCCTGATTGAAAAACTTCTTCAGTAGCTCTATTGATCTCTCTGGGCTGCCACCAGACTTGCAAATAAGCGGTGGTCGAATGGATTCATCCGTGTGGATACTCATAACTGATCCGCAGCCACCAAAACGTTCATTTTGAGAATAATATATGATGCTAATGCAAGTGAATATTGAAAAAATAGAAGCTACCATTTAGGTTGTGCTGGAAGACTGAACCGGAGGGCGGCAGCACACATTATGCATGGCTCAACAGTAACATGAAGGATAGTTTTCGGCAGAACTGCAACCAAACTTTGTCCATTTTCTTCACACCACTGCGTTAGTTTCCTAATTGCTACTATTTCGGCATGCTGAGTTGCGTCACCAGTAGCATTTACCTCGTTCCGGCCTGAGGCTATTACTTCATTGTTGTATATGAATGCACAGCCAACGGGAACCTCTGAAGCATTCAAAGCCTCTTCTGCGAGTTCAAAAGCCCTTTCCATTTTACTAACATAAATACTTGAAGTTAGAATAAAAATATAGGTCAAATACTGACGGCAAACACGCGCAGGCTGATTGGGAACATTGCATGACCCAGAGCCAAATATTCCCCACTATATGAAATGCTTATGCATCAATTGGATTAAATTTTTTACTTAATTTAATCAATCAACTATTAAGAGCAAATGCCAAATGTGTTTATTTTAGCGCATTTATTGAATTTACTATTTGGTAATATTCCTGTACACGGTCGACTAAAAATCTGTCAGACGTCCGTCAACCTAATATTAATTTATCTTCCGTAAAAAATATGGGAAATTTTACTGATTTGCCAAAGACGCTTTCTCTTCTATTAACCGAGTTTCTGACGTCAAGAATATTCGAAAACGTAGGTCTCCTAAATACTTAACCCAATATTTAAAGCTTCCATTTTAAAAAAATTATATTCTTAAAAATTATTTATAATTTTCCGTATAAATACGAAATACGAAAGAATAGCAGTTTATAGCTAAAAAACTGCAAATAATTTTACTAATCAGGCAGTTATTACTGCCAACTGGAAAAATATTTTTCAGTGCATTTTCTCCTAATAATTTTAAAATAATACAGAGTTCATTATTAAACCTACTTTAGCATTTAAAATTTTAAATGTTTATTGATATTCAGTCAAGTTCTAATGATCATTAGAAAATTATTTCGAATTTTCCCAATCGTAGAATAATTTACTTTATAATACTCGATATTAAAGATTGTAATACTAATAATTTATATAGTTCATCTTCATTTTGGAAAGCTAAGAAAAGTAGCTTTTCGAATTTTCCATTCTTGCGAAATCATTTCGATTGAAATTTGTGCGAAGATCATTTTGAATATAGTTGCTTTTTCTTCCAGAGCTTACTCTAAGAGAAACAACTTTTGGCCATCAACATTTTAAGTTTTATTGTCAGATTCAGTTAAATAGTGTCTCATTTATTGATACTTTGAAAGAATGAATGAGCACCTCAAGTCTAATAATAGGTGAGACAACAGTTAGTCAGATGCATAGATTGGAATCTCAGAATAAATCTTATGATTTGGTTTCTCTTGATTTCTTGAATATTAATTGCTGGTGACCTTGTATACTTCTGATTTTCACTGCTGAGGTCCGGTTTTGTAAATTTGTAGAAACTACGGAAACCACAATTATGTATGAAGACAAAAGGTGGTTAAGTGGATGATGGAACAGGGAGAAATATTCGAGATAAACAGGAAATCTTGCGCAATAGTAGAACATTTAATCATCTAAATCATACGATGATAACGTGTCTTTTGCTCGTGCAACACTTATGGTGCAATGATTTAATTTCGAACAGTGATCAACAAATCTGAAAGCTGGTCAATCCAAAGTGTAAAACTTAATGGATGTATTAAAGTAAGGAGAGGAGATTTCTAAAAGTCTATGCTAAATGAGCGAATATTTCTTACGAATTAAGCACTAGTGTACCTTATGCGTGTTCAGACGCTAAGTTTTCCGATCGACTTGTTTAAATGAAGCTCAGCCGTTTTTGAATTAGGCTAATAGATTTATGAGAAATCATTCGGTTATTAAGTAAAGGTGGCCCTTTGTGCTGTTTATGCTAGCCTGTAGGCTTATGTAACGATTATCCACGAAGATTCTATTTTCATTGATTAAAACGCATCATCAGCTATTTTGAATAGCAAAATGTATGCTGTGCACGTGACATGTATTACAACCAATGTTCCGTCAAATGCACTTGGATTTTAATCCCCAAAGGTCTCGTGTAGCATTTGGGTGAAAGTCACCGCCAAATATTGGTTATTAAACTTGAAAGAATCCTAGCTTTTACTCTTTTAACCTTTCTTTCACGATTGCACCCAATTGTGGGAATTTGTTGGTATGCATTGTAACCTTTACGCAGGAGTTGAGTTGCTATTTATTTAGAATAAATGATTCCTTAATTTTTTAATAAGGGCTGACTCTACTCATTTTATATGGAATTGAATTAAGAACTAGATCGTCGTTTCTATTTTCTCTGACCATTTCGAGTTGTTACCTTGTGCCACTATTTACAACTAAATTAAAATCTCTCTACTGTTTCAATTTCGGACTCATTGAACTGCTCATATAAGATTTTGACAGATACTTGTCGAAGTATTGTCTAAAGAGGAGAGGGTTCAACTCAGTTGATCGATAATTTTCTGGAACTTTCAAGATGAACACTCGTGGTTCATAAGCAGAATCCGCGATAAGACTTTTTGATACAAGGTATGTTGCCGAAGATGAATGGAAGTCTGAGTCAAATTTCAACTTAGTAAGAAATTGGAGACTATGAATGAAAATATGCAAATTAATTAATCACCCTTGAGTGACCCAAATTGGAAGCTCGTACAAAATCGGTAGCGTTACCTATGTATTCGTTAGCATCTCCATCTTCACCCATGGTCATATTTTAGCGTCAGTTAATGAGAGAATTATTTCCATAAATTAGGTCGGTACATAAAACTGCAGCTGACTTAGGCAGATTCTCCTGTGTATGGTTCTGCACTTTAATAATATCATTTATCTTATATTAAGAGCAATGGGTAATTTTCACAAAGCTTATTTTACTAATGAGGGGCGTGCGATACACTTACCTCCACGTGGTGCACCCTGGGCAACGTATACTCATACGGCAAAAAGTCAACCGGCAGTTGACTTCTGACTTCAAACTACCATCATCCCACTGTATGTTATATTCGACCACTTCCACAGTACTACATCACTTTTTTTCTAAATTTTCAACCTTCGTCTTTGAAACACTCTTCAGTACCTCCCCCCTCTCTCGACTTTTTTCACTTTGATGTTCCTCCTCCCCTCTATGAAGCCCGAAGTCAACTAAAGGGCTAATGATAACCATCAAAACGCCTGCCATTTGATATAAATAAATTTTACTAATGAATCCGGAAATTTATCTCAAAGTTACCTTTTAAAATT